TGCAGGGAGTTGGTGCAGGGAGTTGGTGCATCTCCATCTCCAGCTTGTTCGCTACAACAGAGCGCATCTAGGTAACATTAGCCAATCACAGTGCAACTGCAACGACTCGCTTACTTTGCTGTTTCTTCGTCGGCCGAGAACACTGTGCCCGAGACACCGGACGCGTGGCAAGATGGACCAAGCTGCCCCGAGAGCTGCGCCTCCGTTCCCGTCAGCCAGTGGCGACCTCGTGCTGACTGCTGCCAGTTTGGACATACCTGCCTCTGATGTTGCTCTTTCCCAGACTGTGTATGCGACACCGGCCACTACTCAAACGGAATCAGAAGAAAAAGACCAATACTGGTGAAACGTCTATCGCTACGAAGCAAACCTCCTTTGCGTGGACGACTGCAGCAGCTGATGCTCTGCAGCGGGCTCGTTTTGACACGCTCAAGCATCGTTTTCAGGGCACCAGAAGCGCGAAACAGCTTGCCGCCGCCTGGATGTTAGTCTCCGCAGAAACGTATCTAGTCTCGGGGCTCGAGGTGAAACCCCACCAGTGCAAGTCAAAGGTAAAGTACAAGGCCATCTATGATAACGTGTAGGATTTCTAATTGATTTTGTAAAAAGTAAAGCGCGGCTGCAACTTTCTTCTCAAAGCTATGCTGCCGTACTTTGGCAGCAGCAAACAGAACACCTTGATCTCGTAGTAAACCAGCAACCCGTAGGAAAGTCGGCTTGGTGCAGCGAAGATTCCAATCCAACTTGCATACGCGGCTGACTGTAGCATGAGGTCACGGTACGAATCTGTTCCTTAGGGCCTCGCGGCGCATCGTCGGATTCTCCTGATAGGAGGACTGCAACCTGTGCGACAGCTGAGCATGTAGCAACCAGTACAGCTTCCTCTTCGTCCATTGTGTGTGCGGCTGAACTGCCTCAATCTCCAGCTACTTTCTCCTTCTTCACCTCTGGGAGCTGGAGAAGGAGACGGGGTAATTCTCCAGTTGTCACGTTGTGAACTAAACTATTTTGACCAATCAAAAGACAAGAAATAGAGTTGATGAGAGGCCATCTCCATCTCCATCTCCAGCTACCTAGCGATTCGCTAGTAGCGAACACGCTCTTAGAGCGTGCAGAAGAAGGCGGAAGGACACGGCAAGCAGCTGTCGATGATGATCACCCACGAGTAAAGGACGATAACAACCTCAGATTTGTACAACAGCAACCACACCAAACGGGCACGAGCAACCATAGCACGATCGACGATTGGGAAATGGACAGGTCGGTAGCTACATACAGAGCGACTCGCTCTGGGAAATGGACTGGTCAAAAGCTAGAGCGACTCGCTCTGAGCGAGACAACAATATTATTGAGAGCATGCGCGCGCAGGTACATGTAACACCTGCGCAAGAAATGTAATTAGGATGCCATGGTACTTATATTTATAGGATTTTACTCTTCTTATTTGCTACGTTGGCCGCGCGGATAATACGCTGATGTAGAAGCGCACGGTAGTTTTCGACATTGAATTTGTCGGAGCGCAACTTATCCATTGATCCACGTAGCGTATGCGGGCGATCTTTCATAATCGCTGTGGATATCTTTTCGATGAAGTAGAGCAGATAAATTCCACAATCAACAGAGTTTTGCTGCTGAGGCTTGGTAGGGGAGGCGTGAAAACTCCATTTAACCGACCCCACCGAAGCTGTTTCTGGGACCCGCTCTTTCGCCAACCACCACTGCATCAAAGAAAACACGTTTGCCGTGTCATGCGCTTCTGTAGCAGAATTAACGTGATACAGCCGAATGACGCCCCCCTGCAGGGGATTCTCAACCGCAAGAAAGCTCCAGTGACTATTACCGTTGACTGGAAGAATAACAAACCGGTACGATACCCAGTCAAATTTCCCTATGTGACCAGCGAGGCGCTCGTCCCTTGCAGCTTTCTCCTTTGTTCTTTTCACGGAATGGCTTCTCCCGAGGCATGCAACCATGCACAAAATAATCAACGGCGGACTCTGTCAAAGTCTGATGCGGCATTAGGCTGTCCAGGTCCTCGCGATAGATTCAGCTCGTATCATCACCACGCGTCCACTCCAATATTGGCTTCTGCTTCCGCGACCTGGTAGCAGACTGCCTCCGATGCAAAGAAGTCTTCTTAGCAGCTGTAGGCACCTCATACTCGCTCTCTTCGGACTCGTTACAATCCATACTCTCGCTACTGCTATCGCTTTCATCCGATCCAGCGCTATCGTAGCTGTCTTCATCGCTGTCTTCATCTCCACAGCCATCGAAGGGTACAGCGCCGTCACCGGGGGTTACTCCATCATTTTGACCACGCTCACTGTCGACACCAGGGGTTACGCCGCCATCACGAGGGGTTACACCATCATCACTAGTGGTTACTCCATCATTTTGACCACGCTCACTGTCGACACCAGGGGTTACGCCTCCAGCACCTCCATTCTCCTCGTGCTCACTGTCATCGCCACGGGTTACACCGCCACCACCAGAGGTTGCACCGCCGTCAGTAGAGGGTACACCGCCATCGTCAGGGGGTACACGTGCTGTGTAGCGTTGGATAAACCGTTTTACCCATGTTACTTGGGACGCTGGAATATCAAAATCCGAGTTGAACTCTTCCAGGCTCCGGCAATAAAACATCACATCGTCAAACGTCCAGTTGTCCTCCATAAGCTCATGAAGGTATTCGATTACTCTCCATTCGTCCGGCTTCATCTTGTGTTTTCGTCCTCCGCCTTCGTTGCGCTTGCGATCTGAGCCAACCTCTTTGTCACAAACATCCCAGTAGCGTTTCACCCAGCCTCTCAAAGTCGATTCCTTGACCTCTTCTAGAGTCCAATCTGGGTTATCTACTTTCCAGCGCCTAAGAAGCGCAAGCTTCTCCTTCTCAGTGCGATTCACACACACCCGCCTCTTCATTCGGAAAAGGGGGAAGGGAGGGGGAATTCTCGAATGATAGTCAGCCGTATATGGCCAATCATTTTAGGTATCAGATTTAATCAGATCAAGAGTAAATATCAAATTAACTCGCGCGAGTTATTCTGAATGCAGCACTTTGAGGTTAGTATGAAGTACTTCGGGGTTAGTATGAAGTAGTGCGTAACCGACCTACAGCAGGCCAGGGGGGCTGTATGAGGTTCGAACTGCAGTGCTTACATTCCCTAAGCCCGAATTTGTGGCGATACGCTTATACTTGAGCAGTGGTCGTGAGCTTATCCGGTTAACACGAACGCCTACTCAGCCAAGTTGCCTTTCCGTCCATTGTAGCTAGTAGGGGGTTGCTTGTACAGGATGACAGCAGCGAGGCCCAAGACTTATTGACGCCTGAACAGGACAAGCGCGAAGCGACAAGTGCCGAGCACGAACTAAGTCAAGGGATGATCCAAACTACACATGTGGGCTATATATAACTCAATGGAAACCTCCATTTTGATATATGGAGAGTAGCACATAGTGACCATGTTGCGTTGGCGGCACCAAGTGCTAATAGTTAGCAGGTGCTTCCAAGCCGATGAATTCTAAATTATTAACACGGAAAACGCTGTTGAGAAATCAAGATAGATTCCGGGAGAGCTCGAAAGTGGTTTCGTTACGCGAGCCTGGTTGTTCTACCCACAAAACCAGAAACACCTACAGAGTGGCATTCGAATACATACTATGTGAGTCATCAATTATATCGCTTTGTGACGTAGATGTTTGTAGATCTTGCGATATAAGCAAGGTCCAGGAAACAACTACATGGTATCGGTGGCAACAACCAGCCTCCATTTCAACATTACCGACCTTTTGAGAAGTACTTCAGTCGTAAAAGATGTAATATTCGTATAGACACGCAGGTAGCCTCTTGCCAGGAACTAATCTAACAAAAATTGCATGTCGAGGGCCGCCGTGGCCAGGGGGGACGGCCAATTTGGCGTCTGATGGGGACGGGCTCGGTTGGAGGTGGCAAATGCTCAGATGTGGTTGACGTAGACCATACATATGGCCCAGAACTGGTAAATGTTTCTTGCCAAGTCGCCAAACCAGTCTGAAATAAATATGGGGGAGCTGCAGGACTTGGCTTGTAACTTGACGGTTTTGCGTGCGTCTGTAACTCACACCGCACAATGAAGGAGGAAGAGAAGGTGAACGCGCTGCGGGGGAGTAAAGCAACTTGCTGCTCCCGTTGTATTTTTCGTGTTTTTTGTGGTTTCCCCTCTTTACTTTTCTCTCTCCTTTCCCAGCTCCTGAGCCTTTTGTGTATCTGCACTTCAACTTACTGTAGAGCAAAAGCTACACTGCAACACGAGCAACAGGTGAGGACCAGTAATTCACAACAGCCCCACCTACTGGTTGTCAACGTTGCACGAGTTCGTGGTAGTCTCGTATTCCCCTTGGGAAATCAATCCCATGCTTGCTCGATGCTGCTCAAACTTCACACGAGGCAGTGGCTTTGTGAATTCATCAGCCACATTGTCATCCCCAGCCACTCGTTTCACAGTTATCTCGTCCAGCTCAACACGTTCGCGGACAAAATGATGCCACACATCAATGTGTTTTGTCCGGCTGTGAAATTCAGGGTTGTTTGCCAGCTATCGAGCACTCTCGTTATCCACAAATACATCAGAGGGGTTGTTCTGCTTCATCTTCAGCTCTTTCAACATCTGCCGCAGGTGGATGACATCTTGGACAAGACGACTGAGTGCCATGTACTCAGCTTCTGTCGTGTGGAATGCGACCGTCCGTTCTGTCTGACTTGCCCATGAAATTGTGCTGCCACAGAACTGGATGAACCCAGCAATAGACTTCCGATCGTCCACTCGGTTCGCAAAGTCTGCATCTGCAAAAGCTTTTAGATGGTCATCCAATTCCTGCTCATTCCATTGCACTCCTCCAAATTGTAGCCCCCAGTCGTGGGTCCAACCCACGCTTTGCTGCGCGCCAGTGCAAAATCCCAGGGTTTTCGAGAAATTGACTGCACTTACGGACCAGGTAAGCCAAATCAGGGCGTGTGCCCAACATTAAGTACACTAGGCTGCCAAATACAGCCCGGTACGGCTTTCCACTCACCAACTCCTTCTCCTGCGTCTCCCTTAAGTAACGCAACCCACGCTTTGCTGCGCGCCAGTGCAAAATCCCAGGGTTTTCGAGAAATTGACTGCACTTACGGACCAGGTAAGCCAAATCAGGGCGTGTGCCCAACATTAAGTACACTAGGCTGCCAAATACAGCCCGGTACGGCTTTCCACTCACCAACTCCTTCTCCTCTCTCGTGGGTCGGACACATGACCTTCGACAACTTTAAGGCAGGGGTGCTTGGCACTTTGCAGCCATTGCATCTTTCCATGCCAAATCGATGTAATACTTTGTCTGCATACTTGAGCTGGTTGATGAAAATTGTCCGCTCCTTTCTATTGCGCGATATCTCCCAGCCCAGAATGTAGTGAATCGGCCCCAGGTCCTTCATCTCAAAACGCACATGATGCATCTGCTTCAGCTCCTTTATCAGCATCTTGTTCGGGGCGAAGAGAATCAAATCATCCACGTAGATGGAGATGAATACCAACTCACCGTCGACCACTTTTGCAGCCTTGCTTCTCTAGGTGGTCTTTGAGCAGGCGGAACCAAACACGGGGGGCTTGCTTTAAGCCATCCAGGCTTTTATCCAGTTTGCAAACCCAGTCCTCTTTTCCTGCTTCCTCATACCCATTTGGTTGCTCCATGTAAACTTCACCATCAATAGGGCCATTCAAGAACGCGGTCGTCACCTCCATCTGGTCGACTTCGTAGTCCCAGATTGCAGCCAGCGTCAGCAGCATCTGCAGAGTCTCTAGGCGGACCACAGCTGAGTATACTTCAAGGTAGTCAACGCCATAAACCTGCATAAAGCCC